ACAACTGAAGATGAACCGAGGAAATGTGAGAAATGACTGATAGAACACACAGGGAACAATGGAGCAGAATACCATTTCCAAAATAAAACCAAAGTCCCGAAGATCATGACAGAAACTCCATCTTAAGGGTGGGTTCTCCGAACCCTGGTGTGCTCCAAGGATACAAGAGGAACCATCAGAAGAAAGCAGGAGGCCAGTCAGAAATGCAGTTTGATGCATGGTTTATATACAATCCAGCACAGAATCAGAATCAGCTTACTGACCAAGACTCTGAGCAGAATCAAGTGATATGACTTCAGTTTCAAGTGCTCACACTTGAAACTGTACTTGATGTCTATACAGACATCAAGTATAGATATCTAAGCTTTAGAGGACATGAAAGAAAGGATAAAATACTGGAGGTTTGAGAAAATAGAGCACAAACAAACAAACAAAAAAAAAAGAAACAGAAGTCCTGATCTGGGAGTGCTTTCTATATTAGTGAAAAGTGATAAGGTAATCCTTCCTAAGCAGTTTCATCTGTGAGAGAAACAGGTCAACTCTGCGCTGGTTTTAAAGGCTGTAGGATAAAAGAGAGACCATACAGTCAGTTGCAACAAAACCTCAACCAATAACTTCAAGAGAGATGCAGTTAATCCTCCAATCCACGAAACTGTCACAGCTACATAGAACACCAGGCCACATATAGAGAAAATGTAGAGAAAAAAGACATACAGTATAAAATTAGAAGTTGAAACAACAAGTAATGCAAATTGGAGAAGAATATAACAGAACAAGGAAAAATGGTCAGTTTGTCCTCCAAACTAGCCTAAACCTACGGCAGCACAACTACTAAGATAGCTGAGGCTAACCTAAGCAGCTCCAATTATAACCTGCATCACAAAGTAAAGTTGTAAACATAGTCTTAGAAGTAGACAGAGTGTTCTCCTTATAGACTGTTAAAACTGGGAGTTATGGTCCATGTTTGTAATTTTCATCAGAACTCTGAGCTGCATTTTAGATCAACTTTACCAAATCTTGGTGATTTCCTGATAGTAAAAAAATGACAACAGTTCAACCATGAAGTAACAAATGAATGGAATCATTTTCAGAATCACTCCTGCTCAGGATGTTTTTGGTTTAGGCATTATTCCAGAGGAGAAGTAAGCAAATTCTAGAATTATGTGATTCAAATTGGATTTTCAAGTCAAAGATAAGATCAATCTTACGTACTTTATTACCAAAGACAAAATTAAGTTAATGACATCTAGAATAAGTGACCAACTAAACAGGCTATTCAAATGGATAGATTCAGACTCATTTACTTACATTTCAGTGCATCTTAGTGAACGAATATTGTTGAAAGGCTACATCTACTTATTAACATTTACTATTATTATTATTATTATTATTATTATTATTATTTTACCGTAAAAATCCATTTACGAGCTGAATGTACATGTTGCATAAAGTACTGCCCCTTTCTCATGGAAAATTGTCAGAGTGAGTAGACCTAAACAGAATAGCATCACGCAAAATGGTGAGGACCGGATGCCTTTTTCATTTGATCTCTAATGGTTTCTGTGAGTTGAAAAAATTATTCTGAGGAAACATTACATACTGACACCACAGAATATATGGAGCATTACTGCCATCTGTTGGAGAGGTTACAGTCTGCTCTGGCTTTGAAAGCTCAGTGTGTGATAAAGAACAAAGGCCAACTGGTTAAGAGTTGATAAAAACAAACAAACAAAAAAAAGATATATTTTAACCAAATTAAGTATGAATAAAAAAGTTTTAAAAAATTCCAAACAACAGGGCTTTAAAAGTTTTGATTTCAAACCTTTCTTGCTGTTCACACTGTAATTTCAAGGATTTGACTTCATGCTTATCATTAACAGATAAGAGTACATAACCATGTCCACAAATTATTAAAATTGGAAAAACTGATGTTTTTTTCAGTGTCAAAACTCTGAGAGACTTTATCAGAAATGACAAGCTCTTGGCTCTGAATTTAGTGTGTTCAGACATCCTCCGGTTGTATTTGTGCAGAGAATAACCTACAATACAGGTCAAAAGTTGCATAGCAGCTTCTGCCCCGGATGCACACAAAAAGCAGGCAGGAAGTGGGCAGGAAGCTGGCACAGCATGGAGAGGAAGAGCACATGGAGAACAGAGGAGACAATGGGAACCTCACTCTTCACTTTTTTAATAAAACATATGCACTTGACATGAAGAGCATATTAACACCAACACTAAGTTTAATATTGAATACATTAACCACAGCATTCTGGTGGTTTTTGGTTAGTACCGCCAGAAGTGACAGGGCTAAAACAAATTAATATTAAAATTATTCTATATTTTTTGGACCAAAACAATTTTTGGCTCAGTTTTCAGTCTGGGTTATAGAATTTCTTAATTTTGCTCCAACTTGGCATTATTTTTAACTTGCCTGTATTTGGGTTCCAAATTCCACAAAATGCCGATGCGCCATAATGGAGAGGAGAATGTCAAACCATCGCTCAAAGTCATACTCTCTCTTCACTTCCCATTTTTGCTCTCTGTCAAAGTACTTTTTTCGGACATATATAATTTTGCGACGTTTGGCCGTTACGGAACAGGCCAACTATTTTGTTATGTAATTGGCCTCTTACTGTGTTTGTATGACTGCTGCACAGGGAAGTCAGAACTATGTTTGCATTTATTAATTTACAATAACTTGCATCACTACTAAACAGCAATAAGACAGAACATTTTTTGTCTACCTTTTGTCCCGGCTGCCTGCAGGAACAGTTGTTAGTATTAAGGCGCTTAAGCAGGAAGATCTCAGGTTTGAATCCTGGCCTGGGATCTTTCTGTTACTGCCACTTGCCACGACTCTCTTGCAAGAGAGATTTTTCATCTCAAGGAGTTTTTTTAAAGCTCCTGGTTAGGTAAAGGTTGATGATAGAGCTTGCATGATCTTCTCTCATGTTTTGGTGTTTTTGTGGGTTCTCCAACCTCCTCAAACCTCCTCAAACTGGCCAAAATATGTTGATAAATTAGTCTCTTTTAATTGTTACCAGGCTCGAGCGGTTCTGTGTGTGAATTGTTGTTTGTTCCGTGTGTATTTGAATGGCTTCCCGATGTAATCCTCTAAAAGGCCAGTATTATGTAAAATCAACCTTTTGAGCTTAAAATCATATAATAATATTATTGTCTCGTCAAAAACATACTTTGAATGTTGTCTTGATTTTTTCTGCTTGTTTGAGGAATCCTTTCAATTCTCAAATTCCATTTTGGGAAGAATAGAAGGAAATAACAAAGTGGGTTGTGAAAGCTGCTCTTTTCTTAAGCTGCTCTTCCACAACATATCTGTATATAGTAATTAGTACTTACTAAATCTGCTTCTGTGCCAAGCTTTATAAGTCTAACAGTCAAGATTTCGTTTTGTTGGTTTCAAAGTTCAGGGAATCACAAGGTCTCTTTTTCCTGTTGCACCCTCATTTTCTGCTGACCATAGCAGGTGCCCTGGAATTCAACCCCCACCTTCTTGTCTCCATACAAACACACACACTGATTTTTTTGCTGTCTTTTTTTATTTAGTTCTGTTAAAGATGGACACTGACAGGGTCCATGCAGCGCTACCCGACCCACCAAGTCAAATTGAAGAAGAAAAAGTGGAAGAGAAGGCCTTTGGGAATTTTTTTGCTGAGTTAGAATCTGTGGAGTTGCCTCTAGGAACTACTTTAAGGTAAATTTATGGACAACTCATTATCTGATTGTTATATCTTAACTAAGAAAATGAGTGAAAATGAGATTCAAGCAAAGAGCTTGAGGAAGTTTTACCAGCCTCAGAAAAGGCATCACAGCAACTTTTCAATGTGGAAAAGTACAGAAGTAGTGTACTGCAATGCAGCAATCATGTACTGCAATATTATACTGTGCTATCTAGAACTCTTTTAGAGGGAATTCAAATTTCAATCAAATCACTTGTTTTACTCGGAATATTACATAAGAAGGAAAGATGCTAATATATATATATATATATATATATATATATATATATGTGTGTGTGTGTGTGTGTGTGTGTGTGTGTGTGTGTGTGTGTGTGTGTCTGTGTGCGTGCGTGCGTGCGTGCGTGCGTGTGTGTGTGTGTGTGCTAATTTTATTATGTGTTTACAACTTCTCATAAATATAATTTACTAGACTCATATAAGGGATTCTATCTTTGGAAATGGTAGTTTTCTAGCCAGCCTGTAGATTGTTCTTTGTCACATTCCTACTGGATTCGTGATATTGGACTGTTTTTGCACATATTGCTTTCTACTGCACCTATCCCATTTAGATAGATGAAACAATGAGAAGTTTTGTGCAGCCATGGGTAAATATTTAGAATGGTTATTGTTGTAAGTTCTTTATTCTTAAACAAGAACCTGAAGACATAAACTTCAGCGATGAGAAACAGGAGCTTCACAAAGAGGCTGACAGGTCAGATTTGCAGAATAGAGCATTGCCATTTACCTTTTGTTTTAATTGGGACCATGCATTCAGATTCAAACTGTTTGTTGGTCATGCCACTGATTTTTGCATTCTTATGCTTTTAACACATTTGGAAGGATGTGCCATCATCATAAAAGAAGACTTTCATCGCCAAACCTGCGCTTAGTGGATGAAATTTGGATTTTTACTTTGAGGAATATAACAACTTTTTCCAATCTTTCAGTTGGCAGCTCTTTTGTTGGGGCCATGGTTCCTTAATGAGGCTGTTTTCTCTCTAATGGATCTGAAATTAAAGATGTTCCTTTTGTCACAGTATTGTTTAAATGTTTCTTTTTCTATTTGTTTCAAATACTAAATCAATGTATGTAATATGTAACTCTTGTTACATATTGCTGTTCTTATGGATGATGTGATTCTAACTTTGAGCATGTTACAGATGCAAACTATCATTAGTTGAACTGTTAGAATTGACCCGAATGATAGATAATATCTGTTAGAGCTCCCCCTGGAGGCCGGAGCTCCGTCGGACTGCTCGGTGCTGGAGATGCAGTCAAAACTGTAATACACTGTACATAACTATCATGGCGGACAATGAAACCCTGGAGTGTGTAACGGAGCATGAGCGGATACTGCAGGAAATTGAGAGCACAGACACGGCTTGTGTCGGTCCGACTCTCCGGTAAGAGCCGGTGATTCTGTCCGCGTGCGGTTGTTTATTCTCCATGTTAGAACCTTTATGTAGAAACATTCACAGCCTGTAAGGCCAGGGCTAGCACTGCTAGCTAACATCCGTAGTGATGAAATGAAGCAAGAAGCTACACACAAACTAGCTCACAAAGCGCTTGAATAAATGTAATAAATCTTTACTAACACCAGACTCACTTGTGATTTCCTTAATGCTAAATAAAGATACAAAACCATTGAATTAACGGAGATGTCAATATTGTCTGCTCGTGTGGACGTTGTATGTCTTATTGTTATTCTGCTGATGTTAGCTGACGGCTAACTTGTAACAATCTTGTTGTTTTGTACAAATCAGAAAGTTAAGATTCACAACAGTGTGTCGCAGGACGCGGCTCGGTCTGTGGGGAGGGTTTGAATTGATCCAGTTCCAGCTCTGTTGTATTCTGGATCAGTTCTGTTGCAGAACTAGCTTCCGTTGTGGCTGTCAAGGCCACCATGAATGACATCAGTTTGACAGGCTGCAAAGTGAACTCAGCCGCAACCTTTCTGTATTCATGCCCTGAGGCGATGACTTTAGCTGTCAGTGAGTAAAACAATGAAGATACGCCCGAAGGTAACGATGCAGAACACTTTCAGTTTTGTTTGATGTTTATTGATGCATTTCTGATCACAGCACTAAGTTTCATTCTGTAAACAGTAAATCTGGTTAGGATGGATATATTCCTGCGTAGTGGGGTGTGTGGCAGTTGCAGAGACCTTTAAATGGTATCATAAATTTAAAAGGGTCATGATAGTCTTAAAAAAACAACAAAAAAACAGAGAGGAAAACATCAATGTACATGTACAGCATAATCTTTAAGCTTCATAGTAACAACCTCAACTACTATCTCTGTCTTTGTTCCATATCTGGGTTTTATTTGCATACGCTCAAATGGATTCATTTTACTTCTCTTTTCTTTTTTTTGTCTCCATCTCCCTGTGTGATGGAGATTCATTCATTTTTACATTGGTTGTGGCAGAGCTGTTTGTTGAAGATGTAATTGCACTGACATTGCCGAAAATTCCAATAATATTCAAAATGATTAATCCACATCTTTTGACCCTATTCTTTTTTATACCACACAACATGTCATCACCACTTTCTTTGTGGTCAAAGGTTATTTTCTTCAGATTGCCACTGTGTGTAAGGATCTTTACTCCCAAGTATAAAACTTTGCAGCAATCCCTTAGTGAGCATGCACAAAGCAACAGTGGAGAGTAAAAGTCCCCTTTAGCAGGACGAAACATCCAGCAGCACCAACACTTTGCTCGGTATGAATGATCATGTTGCTGGAGGTTTGATAAGGCAAAGCAGACACACAAAAGAAACTCAGATATTCTGACCAAGAAGTACTGACTATGTTTTAAGAAAAAGTAAAGAGTTAAATGGCAACAGTAGCTCTTTCTGCGGCGTCATCTAAAAGAGAAACACAGCTAAGCAGATGAGCTCTGAGCCAGTTGTCTGTCTTGAGCGTATGTAGTGAGTTGCAGTGATAGATCAGCCAATGGCTTTGTTGAGGAGAGAGACGAGGTTAAACACTAAAGACAGGACCAAGTGCATCATGAAGAAATCAGCAGCAACTCAGCTGATGCTGATGCAAAGAAGGTGTACAGCTAAACAGAAAGACAGACCGGATGTGGTTTCTATGAAAAGAAAAAACAGAGAAACATGAAGTTAAAAGTTGAATTTAGAAAATAACTTCAATTATTTCATTCTGATCACTAAAGGATCTTCCTCCCATTCTACTGCTAGAACCTCTGAACCAGCGGTAAGCCCACAGTCTGTTAGCAACATATGGACCAATCAGATCTCTAATACGTGATGGAGATGATAATTAAGGGCTTTATATGTAAGAAGGATAATCTTAAATTTTATTCTGTTTTTAACTCTTGCTGCAGATTTAGTCTCGGCTAAAGGATTTTAAGTTTAATTCCTGTTGGTAAAGAATTACTCTTGTCCAACCTTGAATAAATACATGCATGACATAAGATAAAACTTTATTGTCCACCAAGGTGGAAATTTTCATTTGGATTTCCAACTATAAAGTAAAACTCATTCATAAAATCCCTCTCATAGACTCTGGATATTTCCAATTAAGGCTGTTCAACGGTATGATGATCTTTGAAACCTGATTGAAATTCTTCAAGCAGGTCGTTCATTGCTCACACACCTTATTAGCAACTATATAGGAATGATGTCTTTACAAACACAAACAATGGGCTGATACATGTAAATACAGACAAAGCTTGTATTTACATGTACAGTCACTCAGTTTGTAAGTTTGTTAACACAGAGTGATGGCCAGGCTGCATGTAGTTTCATGTTACAGAGACTAGTTAGGCTTAGGTTTTCAAATGTCTTTTGGAAAGAGGTCCCACCATTGCTTTGCTGGTTTGATCCTGGTTGCTATGTTGCTAGGTTCCCTGTGAAATCTACAGAGACTGAACAGTTAGCACTGAAGCATGTAAAGGAACCATTCTTTGAGAAGTTTATTAACAAAAACATCCTTAGTGCTCATGCCTTGTTTGCCACAGTGCACAGATTAGCAAACGTTTTGCCTACCATTGAAATGCGACTGAAATAGTAAACTTTTCCCTCCTACACAGTTAAATAATTACTTAACAATGATCAACCACTTTGATGCCTTTCTCACTACAGTACTGAGTCAACTCTTGTTAAAGTGTTCAATAACATCCAAGTCAACACGGATTGTGGAAGAACCATGGCATTGGTTCTGCTGGAGTATTTGACATGGTTGGCCAGCATTAAGTCTGGGTCCAACTTAATGCTATTGTACATGACTGGTTCAAGTCTGATTTAAAGACGTGAACCAGTCCTTGGTCTGCAGGCCTTGTATCACCTAAAAAACATTTCTAGGTTTAAATGACTGATGTCCCAAAAGATCTATTGAAACTCATCCATGTGTTTCTCTTTAGTTGCATTGATTAATGCAACAGCATCTTGCTTAAAAAACCAGTCCTCCAGCTGCAGCTGATGAAGAAGGCTGCTCCTGGCGTTCTGACTGAAACCAGGAAGATAGAGCTCATCACCCAGTTCTCAAGTCCTTCCACTGAGAGAATAGACTTTAAAATATTGTTGGTAGTTTATAAATCTGAATGACTAAGCACCAAAATATATTACAGACCTGTTGTTGTATCACTGAGTTTTGAAACATTAACTAATTCTTGTCTAGAGTACTATTTTTTATTACTTTTTATTTTGCAACTGTAGTGTTTTTTTTTTCATTTGTTTATCATGTTATGTTTTTATCACTGTGAGCTGCCTTGACTGTTGAAGATTGCTACAAAATAGCAATATTCCTCCTTGCAACTGACTTCAGTAAGTCCAGATGAATGAGGAAGTTATAAACACTGAGTCAAGTCATATGGTGACTTGTCTTTCCATTATGACACTAACTAATCAGTAACTTGGGGATTGACTTTCAGCTGTAATCATTAATGCTGCACTTTGAAGCAGCTACTGTGAAGGCCCATAATATAGCACATCCTTGGGAGATAGTAAGCTCGTTCTATTCTCTTTGAAGTGTGTAGGACAGTTTATATGAATGTCCTCAGAATGACAGTTGCAGTATTAAGATGAATTTTCCAATCAAATTAGTTCAATATTAGTGACCAAGGTGCTAACACTCAGAGAGCATTTGGGGACATTATGGTGATGGAAAACAATAAGAGAATGAGTGCATTCTCTTATTGTCCATAAATTCGCTTTAGCTTAATTTAATAAAGCATCTGAGCTAGATGTATTAGTATTATATAACAAAGAGTAAACATGCATTGTGTTCATGACTCAGCTGTTCCACTGTTAGTATGGAGAGATCGAGAAGTGGAAGTGTTCATCTGGTCTTTGCTCATGAGAACTGATTGCTTTATATGGATTGGAGATGCAGAAGTAGAGTTTCCACACCAACAGCGTGAATGTCCGAGTTCATAAGGTGTCATGGAGAATGAGCAAAAGAAAAGAAATGGTAAAACTGTCCTGCCGTACAAGATTAGGATTTTCTGAGATTACTGCAGATGAAGTGTTTGAACATACTGAACAGACAGGATTTGTTTATTTGTCTTTGTAGTTGAATATTTTCACAAATTAGAAAGAAGAATAGTGATAAGATCTAATATATAAGGTAATGTAATATGCATTATTTTCTAAAAACTAAAAAAATACCATAGTTGGTTGTTAAAATGTGGCGATAATGAAACATCCATCTGGTGCAGGAGTGTCAAACTGCAGCATGTCACTATTTTCTGTTTATCTTCTTATTTAATTTTACTCGTCACAAACATTTTGACAAGGTGTCCTCACATTTTTAAAAAGCCTTAGATTCATGTACCTAAAAACTTAAAATACCTTAAATTTGTGGGAAAAAATGTGAGTTTGCCACAAGTCTTGGCAGGACTATTACATCTCATATGTGAACTGTTTTTTCTCATGGAGTCTTAAAATCTCACTAAAACCTGCAGAGATCTTGTATTTAGAGAACATAAAACTGACCTAATAATGTTAAAACTTTTCATAACAATATTAGTTGAATTTATTGTTCCATTTTTCCCACCTTGCTCCTTTGGTGAGCTGTAGCATCTAGATCATTAAATTCTATACCAGGTGTGGAGATTGAAAAAGGTTAAGTTATTGACATTCAGGTAGTTTGTGATGCTTTTAAAAATAATCCCAAAAGAAAAATTGCATTCAAGGTGTCCTTTTCCAGCTGTAGCATTGGATATACTTATTCTGTGACAACTTCAGGTTGTAGCAGGACAAATCCAGTTAGCTGGAAATAAAAGAAAGACGTTTGACAGATGTGGGTAAAAAAAAATCCTTGATATGTGGCTGTTGATCATAAACATAAATACATACAGCATACTCTCCTTGGAGTCTCAGCTTTTATTGTGATTAAAGTATGTTGGATGTATCATTTCCCACTCAGTCAGTGAAATAAGTTAATTAGTGATAAAGTTTGTGGTTCATATGCAAACAAATCACACAGCCAAATTTAGTGTCTGATGTAAGGTGGGAAAAATAACATCACCTGTAAACAACTTAATGTTTTTCTTTGCAGGCTTTTTTGATTATTTAAATGTAATAATTTTTAACTGAAGCTGGTGATTTCTGCCTACTGTTTTTTGTTTATTGATAAAAATAACTGTACTTCACTTAGTGTCACTAGATGGAGACATTGTTTCTGAAATAAACCTTGGATTGTTGTTGGGAACTGACAGTGTTCTTGCTGTGCTCATCAAAAACTTTACTCATATAATATCCTCATGTGAAGTGCTATACAGGCCTGACTGCCTCTAAGTCCTCTCTGTGTAAGGCATTTATTTATTATCTGTGTGATTCTGTAATAACTATAAATCTTACAGTTTTGAATTGACATGATTTTATATTTAAGCAAGTTGCTGCTGCTACAAAATGCACAGCTTCGTCAAGATAACATGCAACTTTTGCGACTGAATGTAAAAGAAAAGATTTTCCATGCCCCCTGGCAGGCTGTCCACAAATAATAACAATAATAATAATTTTAAAAAACTAACACAGTTGAGCTACCAAGTACGGCTACAGCGCCAGGAATCACTGCAATGTAACAGAGCCAAGGTGATCATCAAACAACTTAAAGCAAAACTCAAACTCTTTAACTATGGACATAGACACACGTAAAGAGACACAGGTGAAAATGAATTGCTTTGTTTATCTATATTTTCTAGAGTTCTCACCCTCTTTCTCTTTTGCTCCCCAACCCTCTTCATGTTCCCCTTTTGTCTTCTTTAGGTCCATTTATGATGACCAGCCCAATGCTCACAAACGGTTTATGGAGAAGCTGGACGCCAGGATAAGGAACCATGACCGTGAGATTGAAAAGATGTGTAATTTCCACCATCAAGGCTTTGTGGATGCCATAACTGAACTTCTTAAAGTGCGTGCTGATGCAGAGAAACTGATGGTAAGAGTGAGGAGGACACACAAGACTTCAAAACAAATCATCACTAAATCTCTAAATTCTGCATTCCTATATGTAAATACATGTTGTAATAATATATAAATATATGTTGGATTTTACTAGAAAAATAAATTCTACTCCTGTTCAAAAAAGAAGACGTATATAAACTTGCACCAATTAATCAACCCTGACTTTCTTATAGGGGCAGTATTATGTAAAATCAGCTTTTTTGAGTTTTATATCATTTTATAATGTTATTCCTTCATCAAAAACATACCTGGAGTGGTGCTTTGATTATTTCATGCATGTTCAAGAAATCTTTCAATTGCCTGTGGGGCAACCATTGGAGTTGTAAAATACTTAGAACCAAGTGCCTCTTCCAGGTGAAGCTCCTCTGAGGGGCTAAATCTCCGTCTGAGCTTCTGAATTACAGAGCACCCGTCACCTGGACTCCCCCAATCAGCTCCTTCAGACTAGTGACAGCAGCAGTTAGCAAACACCCAGTGGAACTGTGTGTCTGCTGAAATAATCATATGAGCTACTTCTCAATGTCATTTTATTTATAAAGCTCTTTATAAATAGGCATTAACTTCACCAAAGTGCTGTTCAAGAAATCTTTTCATTAAATTCATTAAACCACAGATAAAAACATGAAAAAAATACGTTTTACGTTTTCAGTCGGTTGTTAACAGTATAATGGAGGAGCATTGTTATGATGACGTTTCAGAAAGTTTCAGAAAGAACACTCCACCTGAAGTATCCACTCCATCTTAAAGAGGCAGTGCCCAAGACATCAAATTGCAAAGTCAACTTTCTTTAAGTCATGTTTGACATATATATAGTTTTTACAGCGACTGAAGGTAACGTGATCATGCTATAAAATGGTACAATGGAAAACACAAAATGCCACCCCTTTAAGAAATTGGAGACATTGACCAAAAGTAACGTTTTCAACAAAACCTTGCTGCTGAGATGGAAATAATAATTTCCATTTTTTTTCCCTTAGTGTTTGTTGTGAACTCAGAATAGAAATTGTTGCTTTATTTCTCAGTATTTGTTTGTTTACCGGCTTCCTCCCACAGTTCAAAAACATGACTGTCAGGTTGATTGGTCTCTCTACATTCTCCCTAGGTCTGTGTGAGTGTGTGTGTATGGTTGTTTGTCCTGTTTGTCTCTGTGTTGCCCTGCAACAGACTGGTGACCTGTCCAGGGTGACCCCGCCTCTCGCCTGGAACGTAGCTGGAGAGGCACCAGCACCTCCTGATCCCACGAGGGACAAGGGTGTATAGAAAATGGATGGATGGATTTGTTATCGCATTGTTCACCAGAATTAATATTATTTATTTATTTATTTTCCAAAAGTTTACAATCTATGTTTCGTAGCAACAGGAGAGATAATTGTGTTGTTAGTATATTTTCATGATTGGATTCTTCATTGATAAAAAAAAAAAAACTCAAAAAGCTCACTGGTCAATTAGGTCATGGCTCTCAGTTGTGTGACAAGAGCCGAGAGTTCAAAAATCCAGATCCAGAATTGAGAAGTTTGTCACTGAATCTGTGAGAAAGAGCCTGTCACAAGCCATTAAAGCCCATGAAAGGCCCAGTGCACCGACCATGGGTTCAGGTCCCCGCTGACTGGTTAATCTGAATTTACCCGGCTTTGTCCTTGCTTCTTCATGGACAATGAGCTGATAACAAGCCTAAGCAGCTGATGGGAGTGAGCTGCAGAGGGCATGAAGCAGAGCAGCAAATGCACTCTTAATTAGTCAAACTCCTGTAACACAAAATTTATTCTTCAGTCAGTTCAGAAATGGATTTATTAGGGTTTTTTTTAGAATTTGTAACTTAATTCTTAATAGAGACGAATAAGAGGAGATATTTCAGAGCATTAATGTTGATGTCTGTTTGTTTTCAAAGGGTCAAGTGACGGACACTAACAGGAGACTGCAGGACGCAGGGAGAGATGTAAGTTCATGTATGAGTGTAGTCCTGCATGTGTGGAGGACAAACTGTGGCTTTTGTTTTCCAGCCATGACAGATACATGCTCATTATCTGCAAGAACAGTTCTGCGGTGGACATGACCGTTCTTTAACCTGGTAGTCAACGGGGTGACCTCTTTTTCATTGTTTTTCTCAATTGTGTGGTCCCTCCCCCAGGTAACAGCTCAGACAGAGGAAGTGATTCGCTGTCGGATCCAGCAGAGGAACATGGCCACCACAGTGGAGAAGCTTCAGCTCTGCATACCAGGTGACACAGGTTACTGTTACCTGAGAGAACTCATCACAGGGGTAGAGCACTGGTTGGTAGAGCACTGGTTGCTAGTTCTGTTCTGTTCTGTTCGCCTGGAGTTCAGTCCCTTCCTCAGAACAGCCAGCTGTTGTTTGTGTGACTGTTTGTGTTACAGTCACATGTGACTGTATGTAGTGTTGCTACAATATAGACAGAATGGAAGTTTGTTTTTAAAGATTTTTGGACTCAAATGAAAATGATTTGTGTTTATGTATGTTATAAAAGCGGACATCAATAACAGAATACGTAAAAAAAAACACTGATATAAAACTTTGGACTGATGTCAATATCCAATATTAATGTTGCTGTTGTGGATGATTACTGATATTTACCAACATTATGTTTATATTTTATATTTCACTATCCTCTTGACACCTTGAAAAAAGCAACCACACCACTGACTTGACCATTGCTGCTCTGCTTCAGACAAACGTCCCACAATCCTTTCTGCATCACAGTCTTTGTCACCTGAGCAAACAAACATAACATGACCAACTTCCTGCCCTCCACCTCCAGAAACAAATGGCAACAGGATGAAAATAAATGTCCATTGCTAATTTTGTGTGACAAAACCACTGTTCTTTCATGTTGAGATATTGAGCATCCATGCTAACAACCATAATCTCGAAATGAAGTTTGAATTACAAATTTACTGTGGAACGAGCATGGATCACCTTTATATGAAAGTCCTTTTTGACTACTTTCGTTGTCTCCATGTCTGTGTAGTAAAATATTTCTCAAATATGAAGCAGATGAATGGTATTAGCTGAAGACTGTCTCTTTAAACTAAGAGAATCTCCTGACAAAATAACTGTTCTTCGGTTCCAAAAAATTACAAAATTCATCCTCACGTTTGCTGTCAATGCAGAAACCATATCTTCTGGATGTTCTCTTTACACTTTAAAAGAAAATAATTTCTCAATAGACTAACTCAAACATGTAACAAGATGTAAAAACCAAAGCTGGAAATGGCACGCTGTGTTAGTAAGGTGACAAATTATCAGGTACAATGCCTGCATGACTGTTATTGTAGTGGTTCGTGTTTAAGGGTGTCACATACATGATAGATGCATTGTTATCATTAGAAGATGTTAGAAAATGTTTGTATTTATTTTTCCTCTAAAAAATCTCTGACTCTGAATCAACTGAAAAATGAGGTCTCATGAAGACAACAAACTCATTCAGTTTTTTTATGTTCTGTTCCATTCTAGTGCTTGAAATGTACAGCAAACTGAAGGAGCAACTGGATTCAAGAAGGTAATGATCTCCCAAAGCTTTTCCTTTCAAGCTAGATTGTAGCAATACAGATATGGTATAACCAACCGAGCTTGGATCAAAGTTCGGTCAAGCTAGGTTTCAGCTAATGGGAAACAACAAGTTAATTGTACAATTTGTATTTGCAACAAACATCTTTAATCTTTTGCAGCTTTCAAACACAAAACACAGAGGTGTTGCCCAGGCTGTTTTTTTTTTTTTTTTTTTGTAGATTCAAAGGTGATGGTTATCACCTTTATGCATGCTGCATGATGGTAATATGCATGCTGCCCAGGTGAGAGGGGCTTCTATAGTGGTGTGATGGGTTTCTGGTTGGGGGCCGATGGCTGTTGGGGGTAGTTCACTCCCTTGATCTCTGTGTGGTAGTCTGGCCAGGTGGAATGGCTCGTCTCCCTCTCCTGCTGGTTCTGTCTGACCATTTGTTTCTGGAGGTGTCTGACCAACCCATGGTCTACCTGGTGTGAGCCGGTCAGGAGGATGTGGATTCTCTGTCCTACAATGTGGATGTGTCTTTCTGCCTGTAATTGTTGTTTGAAGTTTAAAAAGCCACGGCAACATCTTCTAAGTAATCTTAGTGTGTCTAGAGTCAATCCATTAACAAAATAAATGAATAATTCTTTCAGACAATTTATTTTAACTCTCCAGATCATGCTTCCTTTTACCTCATGAACTTCTGCTGTGGCTGTTGCTGAGTAAGATAAGGACAGGGTGTTTGTTTGGAACAGGAAAATAATGACCCGTTTACTGTGAACCAAAAGAAGAAGCTATTCACTAGAAGGACAATTGACCCTCACCGTGCCCTTGTTCACAACAAAGCCCTCCCTGCATGCCTGCTAGTGGATGCTAGTGAGTCTCTAGTGCAGACCCACTAGCATCCAGAGCCAGGCTCAGCCAATCACACTGCAATAGAAATCCTTCTGGATTTTCCAGTGAATGTATCACATGTACTTTCAACATGATATGTCTGTTATATGTGCTATATGCTTTAATGCACATTACAGTGTTATGTAAGCGTTGGCACGCTGGTCAAATTTCTTTTGGTGTCCAATGGTTCATCACTCTGCGTTCTGATGAACCTTTTCACCATGAGCTTTATAAGAATGTCTTTCTATTCATTTGTCCACAACACATTTTACACTCACTGGCCAACCAATTAGATCCCTTCACAGCCCACCTATCAGCCTAATGATGAGAGCTAGCACACTGACCCAACTCTGAACTCATATAATTAATACACATACCAGACTCAGGACCATAATGATAATAAAAATAATAATAACTAGAAAATTTCTCATAGAACGTTAGATGGGCCCCACTGCTGGGACCAGAGCCAAAGGTTCTGTGGCCATGTTTAGTTGGCCCCAGTGTGCATCAGGGTGAAGAACTTTTCATGAAAGTCCTTCTGTCTGTTACACCATATTGTTTGGGTCAAAGGTCATCTGTATATGTGTTAATCTGATCAGCTGTTCTAGACTTTTTTGTCCTGTCTAGATTTTTGAAAAGTTCCGTTTCAAATAGGCAACTCTGCATCAGTCACTGATGTTCAAATCACTCCTCCCATTTCACCTTTACAAGTAGTGTTGTGTTCATTGTAGTGGATTGCATTGCAATTAAATCCATGCTCTTCTTTGTCATGTTATGGATTATTTGTCTGAATTTCTTTAATGTTTTTGATACTAAGTAAAACAACTGAAATATTGTTTCAATTGTTTTACTATTTCTGAGAATCACTCAGAACAGATGTTTCAATAGTGCGATTTATTAAGTTCAGCAAATCTGTCTTTAATATTTCAGGGCTGTCCATTGCAGATCATAAGAAATGCAAACTCTCACACTTAAACCATCTTAACTGAAACTGTATCCCCCCAGATATTATGCTGCATTGAAAACCATGGAGCAGCTGGAGAAGGTGTATATTCCAAGGTAGGATCACACAGTCAAAGTTTGTGACTGGACATTCTACAAGAAATGTTTGAATAGCTCCTAACTGACTATGCAAGAAGGTATTATGGTTGTGATTTATTAAATCAAAGTCATAAAGGATAAGATATTAAAAAGCTCCAAAGACAAAGAGCCCAGTCATATTAAAGGAAAGTTGGCAATTAATGAGTGGCAGGCAGCTGGTGTATCCAAAAATCAACATGTTTGATTAAAGTGTAACTTCACAATGGAAGGACTGAGTGTCTGTGCCCCCCTCCCCCCCATTCTCCCAACAGGGTCAGTCAGTACAGGTTCTGCCAGATCATGGCAGAAAATCTTCCCAGACTGAGGGAGGAAATCAAAGAAATCTCAATGTCAGACCTCAAAGACTTCCTGGAAAGCATTCGGAAGCATTCTGACAAGGTTGGAGAGACGGCGATGAGACAGGTGGGACTGTTTCTTCCCAAACTTTAACTGGCAGACTGTCAGAGCTGCATATTTGATTTGTGCATGGTGCTTCTGCCCAGGCGCAGCAGCACAGGACCTTCAACAGTGCTGTGGCAAAGCAGGTCCACACAGGACACTACAGCAAGCCTGTTTATTCTCTGAGCGGACGCGCACACACACACATCTCCAACGGCCTGCTGACCGATGACGAACCTGGAGACGAGGAGGAAGCAGATGAAGAGGTGAGACGAGGATAAAAAAATAGTGTTTTACTTTAAATTATTGCAGCTCTCTGTGCCCACATGTCCCAATGTCTATCACAAATACACATCTGTTTTTATTGAAGCGATTATTAAACTGACTGGCAACAAACTGTTAGGAGTTTCACTTCCTGTCTTGCCTGAAGGAAGACAGGAAGTGATGTTTTCTCTCATGTGTCTTCCAGGTTCTTACAGCTCAGGACCTGGTGGATTTCTCCCCTGTCTACAGATGTCTACATATATATACTGTGCTGGTAGGTTACTCTGCTGCTAATTCATTCGACAAGGAGGTGTGACACATGATGTGATACATACAGTCACATTTGGAAAGACTGAATGAAAAAAAACAACAAAACCTTATTTATTCTTCCATATTGTCACGAAAACATTATGGACCTGCTTTGTTCTGATTTATTCATAAGTTTAAAAGTCAACAACACTCAGTATCTCTCCACATCTACCTGTCATGTGAAAAGTTTATGGGTTTTGATATAAAAACGCAGATTTCTTTTTCATGCAAATCTTTTCCTGTAGAAAGTTCATTAAATTACTCTAAATGCTGCATCCCAAAATCCATTTTTTTAGTCTGTTTCTATAAATTTTGTGTCTTCAGGGTGACAGAGAAACATTTGAGAACTACTACAGGAAGCAGAGGAAGAAACAAGCCCGTCTAGTGTTGCAGCCACAGGCTAACATGGTGAGCACCTTGTGTCTTTCATTGCATGTGCAAATGTAAATTATTGGTGCACAAATAAAGATGTTGTTCTCCCGTTATTTGTCAATAAGCAGAGTACTGCTTTTATTAGTTGCGAGACACAAAATACAAGAATCAAACATTCTGAGACCTGCCTTCTTATTAAACCATGCACCCTGTGTTAAAGCAACATAGTATATCACAAAAATGTCTGAGAACTGAAATGATGTATTTTCTCTCTGTTTGCAGCATGAGACTGTAGAAGGCTACAGACGATACTTTAATCAGATTGTGGGGTAAGATGTGCCTTTCAGTCTGGTTGGCTTCTGGTCGCATTAGAAGTTTCTGGACTGAAGACATGTGTGCGTGTGTGTGTGTGTTTGTTGTCAGGTTTTTTGTAGTGGAGGACCACATCCTTCATGCCACCAGGGGGCTGGTCACCAGAGCGTTCACCGATGAACTGTGGAACATGGCCTTGTCCAAGATCATTGCTGTGCTCCGGACACATTCTGTAGGTCCACACTCACACTAACATGTACAGACATATCAGCAGCAGCACTGGCTGCGTTTTTATTGACCTTAAAATGGCACAAGTTGGAATTACAAAAATAAATTTACTTAATGGAAACATGTGCTCAGATGAGGTGGATTTTCAACTGTATCAAAATGAGTGTGTTTCCCAAAAACTGCAGTGGAAACAGATTTTTTTTTTCGCATCACATGACTCATGATCAACAGCAGGAGGCTACTACTGGCAGAAAGATGAAGACGATGACAGGAGGATGATAAGGTTTTTTCTTATCGGACAAACAAACTTATGTGTTATTTTTAACATCGCAAATGCAACATTGTGTTTTTTCAAGGTTAGCAGAATATTGATCAACTTAAACACAGATAGATTCTGTGAAAGAAAAGGAGACTCGAGTTAAAAAAAATAATGGAGATCTATGTTTCTGGGGAGAACTTTCCTTTACTGATACTCATACATATTAGCACAGTGGAGGTGAGTGCACCACAGGCACACTGGTGATGTCATTCTTAACACAAGAGGTCAAAACCCACACAGGCATGTGGCCAAAGAAGAGGTCACTGGGGCTTAATGAGAGACAGATTGCAACAATAACAGCAGTTTTAGAGGGCATATTTCTGACTGCTGGACTCCACTCAGTTGTAAATCACAGAGGGGATTATGCTAACAGGTCAGAGAATGGGCTCCACAGTATGGGGGGAGGGATCACTGACAGAAGCTGAGTCACAAGAAGCTTCACCTCACAGAGTGGATTGCAATATGTTTCATTAAGATTCACTTTCAGGCATTTTTCCTTGTAATTAGAACCAAGTATTTGTGGGGGTAATTGCTGATTGTTTTTACTCCTTTAAAGTTACTTTCATGAACAAAACTGGCATTCTAATCATAAATCTCACCAGACCTTCAGGTTGTACTGCATACTGAACTGAACAGAAAACTGGTTCAAAGCGCTGAGATCCATCTCAGATTCCACCATGTCTCTCTCTGTTCCACTGGTGGACGCCTGTCTGTCCCTGTTGGACTCTGGTCATGACGTTGATTTACACACTTCAAACAGGATCCTGGTGTTAACTGTAAGACATTGTGTTGCTTTCAGCTCAAAAACCAAGTTGTGCTTCTGAAAAATGGAAGGGCTTGTTGATAGTATTTCAGTCCCATCCCCTCACACTCAAGGGTTAGTTTCCCTTTTCATAAAATACATTCAAGTCCAGGCTCAGGCATCTTCCTCCAGTCTGAGATGATTTATGGAGCGACTTTAGAGGGTTAGAATCTGTCTCCATTTTTTAGAGTAAAGTCACCATTATAATTTTCTCACAGTTTTCCTGTAGAAACATATCCCTTAAAAACTGGTAACAGAAATATTTTAATAAGATCTGTTTATGTTTTTAAAATTATTGTTTTAAAAAGCAGAACATCTTTATTTTCTCATTTAGTTTAGTTCTCCGGGTGTAAATCTGATAGTTGATCTCTTTCTTGTCCAGTCCTACTGTGATGACCCAGACCTGGTTTTGGAGCTGAAGAATCTCATAGTCATCTGCGCTGACACACTGCAGGTTTGTTCAAAGTTTTGCTTTAATTAATCAGCTTGCATGAAAAGCTTGACTGAGACATGAGGATTTGTGTGCCTGTATGTGTTCACACAGGGTTATGGTTTCCCAGTGAATCGACTCTTTGACCTGCTATTCGAGGTCCGAGACCAATACAATGAAACACTGCTGAAAAAATGGGCCCTGGTTTTCAGGTGAGATTCCCTCTAAAACTGTCTTTCTGCTGGGAAGATGTCTCCTTCAGAAAGGACATTTTTATTTTATTGAAACAAGAAAGCTACAATAATTAATTGACCAAAATCTAACACTTCTTATTCATTCTTTTTTTTATTGTTTTTATTTTTCAGCCTTAAAATATTCTTTACTACTGGTGTGGAATATATAGTTCATCCCGCAAACCAATTTGCACTGTCTGGGCTCGTGATTCTCAAACTGTGCCACTGCTACCACTGTTTGGGCTGCCCTGAGCTGTACTGAGAATAAATGTTGGTTTGACGTTTATGCTGGATAAAACAAGGAGGTGATTAACTGCTCACATGAGCTAACCGGCAAAGACAAGTTGTTCAAATAGCTTCAGCTTTTCTTTAAACAGGAACTCATCACAGAACATGAGAAACTAAAAAAAAGTAGACCTTCTGTCATACTGTTGTTTTAAAAGAGCTGTTATTTTGGTGGTTAATGGAAGTCTTAGTGGGAATAAAATGTTTGTTCAGTTAGTTTTTTTCACACAGCTTTTCCAATTTGGCTTGAGGTGTTAAGACACTTTGGTTGTGTTTTTCTAAACAGCAATGTAAAAGTAAGGAATAATGTGGAATTATATTCCCCAAATATGGAATCAGTATGAAAATGTTTTGTTCCCTCGCTTTACTCTGACTGATTGTCCAAATCCATCCATCCGTCCGTCCGTCCGTCCGTCCGTCCGTCCGTCCACTGAGGTATATTTGTTGTAAATCTTGTATTAATACTTAAAAACTGACTAAAGAGCACTGAGAAGTCTAGATGTTCGTGTTTAGGTTTTGACATCAAAACATGCATGAACCCTGTTTATGCATGTACTATACTATGGTCAGTTTAAATAACTGACCATAATAAAACCCAGAATAAGCCAGATAATTTTTAACATGCTGATATGCTGATGCTTAGAAAGAGCATGGTCCTTTTTTCTCCCATGTGTGAGGTTTTCATCGACAGCCAAGTGAAGCCACGGCTTCTTACTGCTACTGCACTAAAGTATAACGAAGCAGTAAATGTTGTCATTTTTGCACAGAGAGATCTTTGAGTCAGACAACTACAGCCCTATCCCAGTGGAAACAGAGGAGGAGTATAAACTGGTGACCAGTCGCTTTCCCTTTCATGATCCTGAGATTGAAAAGGTGACAAGAACCAAAACTGCACAATGCTCTCATAAGCAATACTTTCACGTGACCAACATGCCATTAAAGTTTTTATGTTCTTTGTTTCTACTTGTGTGTGAGCAGCAGGACTTCCCTAAGAAGCTGCCGATGTCTCAGTCTGTCCCTCAGATCTACACACAGGTCAAAGAGTTCATTTATGCCAGCCTCAAGTTCTCAGAGTCCCTGCACCGCAGGTATGGCACCGTCTTACATTTCAGATACATGCATTAAGAACAAAGTTCATCACCTTTGAAATGATGACATTTAAATAAACTGAACACAATTTGCAACAAGCCTCATCAATTTTCTCACTTGTATTTAAAGGCTCCCATAATTATTCATGAACAGGATAGAAAAGCATTGAAACCACTTTAGAAGTGATTCTTTTATGCATGAGCCATCTTCTCCTGGAGGTTTCTTCACGCCTCATATCCCCCATTCTCTCACTCTGGGAGTTTTGTAAATACTGAAAAGCTGAACCTGCAGGAGCTAAATGTTGTATGTGCCTTCAGTTCAACAGAGATCGATGACATGCTGCGAAAATCAACCAACTTGCTGCTGACCAGAACTCTGAGCAGCTGCTTGCAAAACCTCATCAAGAAACCACACATAGGACTGACTGAGGTGGGACTGGATCTCTCTCACACACACACGTACACGCACACACACGCTCACACACACACACACCCCCCCACACACACACACACGCACACACACACACGCGCGCGCGCATACACACGCACGCACAGACACACACACACACACACACACACACGCATACGCACACACACGCACACACACACGCATACGCACACACACGCACACACACACACACGCATACACACCCACTCAACTATTTCAATGTGACAGCATTTAATCATCTGCTGTAAAAACTGTCACCTTTCCTCTCCAGCTGGTGCAGATTATCATAAACACCACTCACCTGGAACAGGCCTGTAAATACCTGGAGGAGTTCATAACCAACATCACCAACGTTTCACCCGAAACAGTTCACACCACAAGACTCTATGGCTTATCCACATTTAAGGTAACCGAGTAAAAAACAGATGGAAGCAGAACAATTAGGTTGCATCACATTCATCTCAGATTTATTTTCTGTTTGATGAATCAGCTTTTATAACAATTTAAAATACTGGAGCAAAGTAATGGCAGTGACACATGACCTTTAAAATTATAATCAGACATTATAATTTGTCATTTGACTGTTGCCGCCATGGTGCCCTGCTGATTATAAAGTGATGCATTCGCTGTCAAAGTTTAAGTGTAGCTTTACAAACAATGTGTAAAATAAACTTTCTTCCTGTCCGGACCAATGGGGGGTTGGGGCGAACTGCACAAGACGTCAGAGATCCTGGAGATCTAATGGTCAAAATCTGGTTTTCCTTCATATAATATGGCATTTTTTTTCTTTAATATTAACATTGAAAGAAAAATGTAGTTAGTGCATTACCTGCAGTAAGTGAATTAGTAAAAAAATCTACATTGATAAGGCCTGTTACAAATGAAAGATATTAGAAAGCACCTAATCTGGTACAAGACAGTAGGATACAACTCAAGGAGCGCTGCAGACAACAGCAGGACACAGAACAGAAGGTGTTTGTGCTTCCTGTTTGAGATGTTTATGCCTTTATTTTAAGGTCATGCAGAAAGATATTAAGTGTGAAATCTGTTGTCAGGATGCTCGCCATGCTGCAGAGGGGGAGATTTACACCAAGCTAAACCAGAAGATAGATGAGTTCATTCAGCTAGCAGACTATGAGTGGAGCATGGCGGAGTCTGATGGCCGCGCCTCAGGATACCTCATGGACCTGATCAACTTCCTTCGTTCTACTTTTCAGGTCTTCACACATCTTCCGGTAAGTTTAATGAAGCCTCTAATGGAGCCATTGAATGTACAGCCTTGTAAACTACGACTAAAGTCAGTGTGTTGTTGGTCTTAAGAGACATTTTTGCCTTCATTTAATGAGGCGGTTTTTCTTGTAAATGTGGAGGTGAGGAATGTTTTTGTTCATTTCCGTCCAGCTCCCTCTAGTCTTCTGTTTTTACATCTGAGGCTGATCCTGTGCTGGTGCCCAGTCTGAGTGGGCCACCGGTTGGTGGGCTCTTCAGCACCATCTGTTGTGTTTTCTTTTAGTTTTAGTGTTTGTTTGTTTGTTTTCCAGAATGCATCCTGCCTCCCCATTCACACTTTCTCCAATGAAATGTTACTTATGCCAGTTTGTTTTATTCCTTGATTTTTATTTTCACTCTTTAAGCATCCAAGATAACTGGTTGAATTTGCTTCCTCCTTTCCATTTATTGTTGCTGCATTTTTTTCCTATCCTTTCCCTCCTCCCCTCCTTTCTTTTATTTTGGTTGGTTTTGGGTTTTCTGCTCAGAATAACAACAATGACCATGCATCAATGTCGGTGAGTATATTTGCTCGGATTTTATTCCACTTTGCTGCCATTTTGCAGCCAGCTGGGAACATGAACGCATGCTTGTTTGACTGCGGAAGCTGCTCTACGGTTTCACCAGCAAACCTGTACTTCTTACTGCTGACATTCATGGAAACCAGTAACATTTAGATTCTCTGCAAGAGCTCCTTTGATAATTTATAAGAGACAATCAGTGGATATGCAGTAAAGCTGCTACAAGCCCCTGAGAGAGTTCTTAAAACCTTTTGATTGATTTCTGTTCTATGTGCTTCCACAGGCTAAAATGAACAAATCTTTGTAGTTAAGAGATTTTGTAAATAGAGTACAGCAATACTGTGGTCACTTTAAAATTGATTTTGGAACTGCATAAAACCAACTATTTCCTGTTGCAGTTTTGTTTGCTCCATTTTCCTGGTTGCATGTGTTTGATCCTGGTTTTATTTTCTGTCTGTTCAGTTTAATGTTTCCTATCAGATTGCATGGGTCAGCACCATGATGTGAATCAGAGAGTACTGAGAGGTGGTCGAAGCTCAACGATGTTTGACAATACCTCAGTGTGTGTTTAGTGTTCATTCTGCATTTCTTCAAGCATTGAACTGAAAGTCAGCTTTGGTCTCAAGTCGGGTATGAATGCTACTGGACAGGAACTTCTGGGTTGCATCAAAATATTTGTCGACAGAATTTAATGAAGCACTGTTTTGAGGATTGGCTGTTCTAATATTTAAGATAAATACCACATAGGGTTATCATTTTAAGCAAAAGGCAAAATTAATGTATTTGTATACTCGCCTCAAAGTGTAATGCACCTAACACCAGCGCAGGTGATTAAACTGCTACATGTTCTAGGAGTGGGCAATGTGGACTTAAAGTTTTATCATAATTTTTTGTGGTACTTCTGTGAGAACCATAAAAGTGACAGTAAGTTTTAGGGAATTTAAAACACCATTGACTGGAATTTATTGTGATAACAATAATTCTTATCATAATAAGAAAATTTTCACATTAAATGATAAACAGCACAATAAGTGATAAATGATCAAATTGTAATCACTAATACGGATCTGTGAGCACTTTGTTCAAAGTAGCACTCAAACATTAATAACAAGATGAGTCACTGTTTTGGATATAAAAAAAAGGAAGTTAAAATCTCTCCAATGTTCTAAAAGTAGACCAAAGCCAGAAAGATGTAAAAGAAAACTAGTATTGAAATGGAACAAATTGGAATAAAAATAATAAAAGAATAACTCCTTTTTAAAATAAGAGAAGTGCAGAAACTATCTAAAGTTTGTCTAGAAGTTGCTGAAGTTACTTTTCCTTCTCTCCCTCCCAGAGCTGTTAGTTATGCCTGGTAGAGCTGTTCTTATTTCAAGTAAAAAAAAAAAAGAAACAACATTTATAAGTTCAAAGTTTCCCAAATATAGTAAAGCACATGTTAACAGAAATGGTTCACAACCCAGAAGTTCCAGCCTGATCAGATACTGGGGCTTGTAGAAGACAGAATCTGCTCTGACTCGTTCAGATCTGAGTTCCTTCATTTCTATTTCTATTTACTGTTGATCCAGACGGTTTGGTGGAAGAAAAGCCGACCCCACATCTGTTCATTGACCATTTTGTCCACCTTTTCTCATGTCCAATCCCTTCCTCCAACTCATTCCTTCTATTGATGTTCAACACTGACCTCTTTCGGCACTTTCATTTCCCTCATTTCTTTCACCCTCCTCATCTTCCTTTCTTTCCTGACTTGCTTCATGCTTTACGTTATTACCACCCCATCCCCAATTTCTCTCTCTGTAGGGGAAAGTGGCCCAGACAGCGTGCATGTCAGCTTGTAAGCATCTGTCCACGTCGCTTATGCAGATGCTTCTGGATACAGAACTCAAGCAGATCAGTATGGGAGCCATACAGCAGTTCAACTTGGATGTCATGCAGTGTGAATGTGAGTATGAAGAAAGGTGAAGTTTTTCCTCATTATTTTTTCCATTTACCCTAAAATTATTTTCGTAATTGGAATTGCGAAAATAAATGAGCTTAAAACCCCTAAACCCTCACCCCCAGAAAATACAATGGAAAAACAGCACTGGGGCGTTCCGTTGCAGGAAATACCAATTTTGAAAGAAACTAAAGTTTTTGTGCTAAGATGAAGTGGTTTTTCAGCTGTATCATAACACTTCTTTTTAGCATCACTCGAATCACTGTGATCAACAGCTGGGTGTCACTCCTGACAAAGAAGACTACAGGAAGTAGTAGGAGGCTGATGGTTTGTTTTTGTGTTTTTCTGACAATGTGGCTGCTCCAGCATCTCACAGTATCACACAGTTCAGAGCAAGTTGTCATTCTAACGTGTTGAATCCATAGCTCTTCTGCAAAATGGCCGACTACAATTTCCCCAAAACGTCCCAAACGTAGCTGCTCCCCAGTATGGGGGGCTTGTCGATCCAACACCTAAATAAAACGCTAATGTCTCCTCTGATTGGCTGATAGATGCTGAGAGCCAGCACCATGACTGAATTATGAATGTATCTCATGTGACTCTTTATGTCAGTCACTGCCATGGTTGTTAATGACTTATCGCATGAACAGACTTATTCATGTGTAATTTTAATTTAATTTCTTATTTGATGTAAAAACTGCAATTGTAAAAAAAAAATTTCAACATTATTTTTCATAGCTAATGTCACAACTAAGGTTTTAAAACATTTGTAGTTTTAACATACACTGCTAGGTTTATGTGCTGATATGAATTGAAAGCTGAGTGTATAGTTATCTAACTGTATTTTGATCACATGTTATATAGAAATATGATAATGCATTATAGTTATATATGTTTGTATCATACTGATGAGATTTTTTTAGAAGAAAATCATTTCTTTGCATTACATCGTCTGTTGATGCCGGTTATAAACATTTTCATTTTACCCATTTCTCTGAAAAAAAAGGGGTCAAAAGTTTCCAGAAATGAACATAAAAATAGTTAATATCGGGGTGTGTTTGTGTTTCTTCCAGTGTTTGCCAGTTCAGAGCCAGTGCCTGGCTTTCAAGGTGATACGCTCCAGCTGGCCTTCATCGATTTACGACAGGTGAACAGTCAAACTGCCTGGCCTTTTAACCACAAGCATAGCCCGGCTGTTACCGCTTGGCCTGGGTAGAGACTCGGTTCTGAGTAGAAACTTCCTCTGTCTCACTGGTAAAAGTCTGGTCCTAAATTCTGTTAGAAATGAACATGCATCAGTTTAACAGAATTAATTCAAGAAGAGTGATTGAGATGAAGTAAGGGACTTTCTCCTGGCTGAAAGTAAGGACTGAGCCAAACCTCTCAGAGACTGAGAGGGACTAAAATAACTGAAATAAATAAATGATCATGTTATTTATCATGTAGAAACAAGTAATAGTTTCAAAAAACATCCTTTGTTATGAGTGTAAACTATTTTTATACTTCCAGGTTTCCATTGGTGTGTCTGGAATATCACTAATTTCTCATAAATGCTCAATAAACTAAGCTAAGTTTTCATAAGTGATAGGACGAGTAGTATCCTATGAAATGATTTTTATCAATCTAAACTAGAATTATCTTTCAGGAGTTACAACAGCTGCTTATCTAATGATTTAGTATTAAAAGGTTCTTTGAGTTCCTAATTCTTGCTCTGAGCTCAGAACTGAACTCCAGGTGAGAAAAATGGGGGTTTGCTGAGCCTCTCTAAGTGTCGGTCTCTCAGCCAGATGAATAATGCTATTATCACTAAATTGCTCTGTAAGTGCTCTATCAGCAAGACCCACACATCCAGCTGTTTCACCCTGTGACGTTCCCATACACTTATGGGGTGGGGGTGGGTCATCTCCATCAGGTTAACCACAGGTCAGTGGGGAGAGCAGAAGATCATGTAAATGTATACCAAGATCACATAACCTGATCCTCTGAACTGAATCATCCCACCAAGGCTGTGTGGTTCTCAAGGCAACAATTAAGGTTCCTATCAGTAACAGTATCACAATTCAGTTTTTTCCTCCCAGACAAATAGTTGAAAGAACAGGAAGTTGTACAATTCTGGCCATTTTTTTAGAGAGTTCAGAGGTTGATTGAAGGTATCAACTACTGCTCCACTCAGATGACCATAAGATGAGACCTGGGAGACCAACTATCCAGGATCTCCTACTTACTTGACGTGACTCAGTTCACGCAACATGTTGGCTTAATACAGATTCGTCCCTAATCTGCAAAAATACCTTGCAAAACACAGAAACCTGCATTATAAGACTACTAGGCTATCAAAAAATAATACAATTAAAAACTAATTTGGCCATTCATTGCCAAATGTCTCCAAAATTAAATTTTTGGATTTTATCAACTAAATAAGAATAGTAGATGGACACTAAAATGTTAGAGAAAGATGTTTTCATAAAAAGCTTTGTGAAAATCATCACAAACATCATACATCTCTGGCTGTTGTTCTAAACCTGAAGCTCTGTTTCCTCTCCCAGCTCCTGGACCTGTTCATGGTATGGGACTGGTCAACTTACCTGGCCGACTATGGTCAGCCAAACTCTAAGTACCTGAGAGTGAACCCAGCCACTGCGCTCGCTCTGCTTGAGAAGTAAGTGCCTCTGACCACCAGACATTGCTGGGGTTAAAAATAATTCACCTGTTTTTTTTTTTTTTTCATCCTCAATTGCTGAAATTGCTGTGAAACTAAACTTGGTTGTTCTTGTGTAAACAAATGAAGGAGTTTGCTCTCTCTATCAAAAAGCTTCTTCTCAACAGTTGATATCAGTTCTGTTGGAATCCAAACTCTTGACTCTGGACATAGCTAAACTGAACTGAGATGGTGACTTTTGACTTTCTCTGATGTCTCGGTTCCATATCGTCATTTCTCTTCCACTAAAGTTTGTCTTTTTCTGCTCTTTTTCTCCCCTGCTGCTGTTGCAGAGTCTACAGGGGGTAGGTCCACCATATTCACCTTCCCTTTTTTACATACATGCGTTTAGTGCACAAGTAATCCTGGTGACATTGTTCTATAGAGCTGTGTGTCATCTGCACAGCTTTGGAAACAAATCTAATTACTTGTTATAAGCCAAGTTAATGGGAGGATGTTGTTATTAAATAAGAGGAGTCCCAGGATGGGACCCTGGGGTACGCCTCATGTGACTTCTGCCTGCGTCGATACACAGTCACCTGTTGACATAAAGAAGTCCCTGTTCTTTAAGGTCAGATCCAAACCGACTCAGAGAGTCCAACCCAGCCTTCCAGTTGTTTACCATGTCATGGTCATCAGGGTCAAATGCTGCTCTGATATTGCGTCTTTTCTGTCACACAGGCAACGATTAGCGACCTCAGTGTGAAATAAACACATTCACCCAATTAAATATGAAATCACAGCAGCAGGTGTTTCCTTCATCTCCTGAAAAATAACCCTGTTTAATACATCACTGTCAGTACAACAAATAAGTACCTAAGTTAAGCTTATTTGTGTGAATAGAATGTTTCTACTGTTTATCACTATCAGAGAAAAATAGTGCGATGGCAGAATTGTTATTTTTTGACAAAATGTTAAACTAAGTAATGTTATCATTGTTATGTTTGCTGTGTGAACTGTTTTCTGTACCATTGGTCCCAGAGCATCAATCAGTGTATTTGTGTGTGCCGTCGTTTCCTGTTCAGCAGTGTACTGGAGTAATAATGTGTTTTATTTTGAAAGCAGTTTATGTTTTTGTGGAGGGCTGACTGTTTGCAGTGAGATCTGTGGCTAAAACTTTAGAGAAGCTGAAGTGATGATTGTTGTCACTTTCATTCTTATAGCAGTAAAATCCAGAACCATATTAGGATCTATCTGAATCTAAATGACCCATCTCTTATTGTTCGCTAAACTTGGAGAACTCTGACCAAACACACAGTTGGTTAAATGGCTGCGTCAGGAACCTGAACACTTGTTCCAGTGTACCAGTGACAGCCAGACATTTTCACACACTAACAGATGATTTCAGGTCTGACTCGTCTGGACCAGAACATTCACAGACTCCTGTTTCTGCTTTCAGAATGAAAGACACCAACAAGAAGAACAACATCTTCTCTCAGTTCAGGAAGAACGACAGAGACAAGCAGAAACTGATCGAGACTGTGGTCAAACAACTGAGGAGTCTTGTCAATGGCATGTCCTCCTAGAGTAACGCATACATGTTATCTGTATGTGCAATAACCAGATATGATGAGTGAAACATGCATGCATTCACATGCACACATAAAAAAAAGCGCCCTGAATAATATTGGTTTAATACACCACAGAGCAATCCCATGCAGAGGATCATATTCAACATACAAACAGCTGAGTTCTCATACTTACTGGTCGCATGGTCATAGACATCAGCTGAAGGCTCAGCATTACACTGTATGGAAAAAACCTGCAGGGAACCCCCTGCCAGCAAACATCATTTCCTGTCTCTGACTTCAAACCTGTCAGAGGATTTCTGCTAAGTTCTGCACACACTCCAAACTATTTACTGAACCCTCAGAGAAACGATCTGTCAGCGGCTCATTGGAGATAAACTGTTTTGTACATTTTTTTTAAACTGGAATGATTGAAGAAGTAAACTGAGAGTAGGAAGTACAGGAAGTGACAAAGTCCTGGTGCAACGGATTCAAAGGTCCAAACATATGTTTGTTCTAAACATCAAGTTTGGCACCTGGTTTTTCTTCAATTGATGTGTATTTTCCTGCACTTTATTCTGAAGAATAACAGCTCTTGTTAATCTGAGATGATGACATCATTTACTGATCCACAGATATATTTCAGACTCCTAAAAGTAATGACTGTGTGAAGGCAACATTTCAGACTCAGTTACATCTATTCCTGTTTATGTCTCATTATTAATGAGTGAAATAAGGAGAGTTTCGTTTCAAAACCTGAGATAACAAATTCATTTACTCACACACAAGAAATAGATATGTGTGTGTGTGTGTTTATGTGTATGTGTGGTGCGTGTGTGGGTGTACATGTAATAGAAATGTAAACTGAATAATTTATTATTGATCTTTTTGAATTTTGAGTTATTTATATTATTTTTATTATTCAGGATGCTGTGTGTGTGTGTATGCGTGCGTGTGTGTGTGCGTGCGTGCGTGTGTGTGTGTGGGCGTGTGTACGCGTGCGTGTGTGTGTGCGTGCGTGCGTGTGTGTGTGTGGGCGTGTGTACGCGTGCGTGTGCGTGCGTGCGTGTGTGTGTGCGTGCGTGTGTGTGTGTGCGTGTGTATGCGTGCGTGTGTGTGTGCGTGCGTGCGTGTGTGTGTGTGTGTGTGCTTTGTGAGAGAGTACAGATCAGAAATTTAAGAGCAAATCAACTTATCCAAATATTGTTGATATGGTTGATGTGGCAACAATGAATTATGCTGAAGTTCTATACATGAAGTGAAAAGTGAAAATGTGAATGATGATGTCCCAGGAGACTGATGTTCATATAAAACCTTCATGGTGGCTTTTTGTTGTTGTTTTTTCTGCCTTGTCATTTTAGACATTTCTGTCAGATTTATGGCACACCCATTCTGTCTCAATAGGTGTGATGTAGCTTTTTATTTGCCGCCATCTTTTCTACCGTGTGCAAATGGAGTTAAAACATAGAGCACAATTCTCTCTTCACTTTATTACAGATTCTGGATCAATCAAAGTTCCACATACATAAATATTAAAGTGAATATTTGTATATAGGCTTTACTTGTGATGTGATTATGGAGGTACATTTCTGCTATGAAACTCAGAATTAATTTTTCCTGAACTTTTTTATTTGTTCCTGTAATTTTATCTGAGGAACTGGACTTCTCACACAGTGTCTGCTGCAGCAGGAAGTCCTCCCTCTCTCTCCATCAGTGGGACAGATGCTTCCAAAGAGTTGATCTTTCCCAACTGACATCAATGACTTGAAATCTATTGCAGTAAATGTTAACTTAGCATCTGTGACTTGTACTGATACCATTAAATTATTCTGGTAAGGAAACACATTCATCATGCTTAGGATTCTTTCCCCATAAAACTCAGTCAACAAGCTCCTTGTTAATAAAAAACCTTCAGTCTCACTATCAGGCCTTTTTCTAACCTCAAAATCTGTTTTTACTCAGTCAAGTTTAGTGGAGACACAGGGGGACGATAACTAACACTCCTGATCCCAAGACAAGGTTCCTAGTGGGAACAGGCTTTAAGAGAAATGCTCCAAGTCCAGAAAACAGCATGTGGTTTTAATACCCAGCAAACTCTAACAAGAAGGGTCTGCGACTGCTGCCCTCACCTGTAGCCAACCAGAAACATGCAGGATCTCAGGGCTACACACAGTCAGTTACTTCAATAACAAACCTTTTTTTATAACACAAGTCTTTATTATAAAATTCAGTCTGCATATGACTGAATTATTTTGTCCCCTGGTCTCAGACTGGAGTCAGATGGAAACCTGGACACTTTTTCAAAGAAGTGCCGATTGGGAGAGAAAATTTCCCAATTCTTGTTTTTACTAAATGCCAGATAGAAATTTTATGCAACTTTAAGAGACACATTACAGCAGTGGAATTAGATCATCCATTCATTTGTTTTTGCATTATATAAATAAACCAATATTGATAAAAACATTTCTAGATTGTGCAAAAATGCTTCTGTGGAACAGAATCAGACTACATAGCAACAGCGGTCAACATTCACATGCAGTCTGACTTTGAAGCTGATTAATATTAACTTATGTGAATGAAGTAAATCATCCGGTGGACAGAATGAGTGTGCAGGCCTGCTGACCCTTTTAATGCCAGGAGGAGATACTGAAGTCCAGAGCAGCCAAACTGCTCACATAATGTTTGCTACATATACTAAAAATCTATTTGTGAAGATCGTTAAAAAAAGGCTGCAATTAACTCTTGTAAACACAGGCCTAACCTTTTATAAACCTAAATTCAGCATTTTTATTCTGTCTTTTGTTTCTCAGGGTGAAATTGAGGTTTAGAATGTCAGAATCCACCAAGAAAAGCAATAATGTACTTTATTATATTATAGTCTGTAGGTTAACACTTTACATCTGTACATAAACTTTGATGGGAATGTTTTAAAATGAGGCTTTTTGTTTTGTTTTTTATGTCTGTTGCTTCAAACTGGATGTTGTTGTTTTTTCCTCCTTATTTTTATGGCTTGGAAATCCCTCTGTATATATTCCCCTTTTTGTAAAGAAAAGATTTTAGCAGCTTCTCTGCTGCTGACAACATGAAGGTGGACTCTGTGATGTGTTCCTCCGTCAGTCTCTGAAGTGAATTCATATTCAATAAGAACCCCAGCTGCTGGTTACAGTGTGAAGAGTTTAGTGATTTGTAGTTATAAGCTTAAGTTTGAAAAACACAACATTTGATGAATCGAATCAAATCAAATGAACATTTATACAATGTTTCAGATCATTAAACAGACAAAGATTATTGGAGTAAAACCAAAAGTTTGTTTTCAGGCGGTTTCACTAAGGGGAAAAAGCAGGGCTGCACCAAGTTCTATTTTCTGGCCGATCACCAATCTTTAAAAAGCCTGATTTGCTGATTCTGATGCTGGCCAATAACAATTTTTTGTCTGAAATGTTGCCAAAACTTGTAAGAAAGTCACTGAGTTGGCAACAGTGGACAACTCAGACATGACCTGGTGAGTCTGCCAGTCAGACTCTCACAGCAGAGCATCAGAGAACTGTGGCACATTTTTGGACCTTTGCTGAGGAAGAGAAGATCATTTGATAAGATCAGCTTCATATGCAAGAACCGACCAATCATCAATCTCCCAAAACTATGAAAATCTGTGCTGATAAATCGGTGCACCCTACAAATAAGCAATCCAAACCTCTAGGAAATGAGGATCATCCCCTTATCAGGTTAACTACATGTTTTCTGTGCAGAAAAGCAACAACTGTTTAAAAGTCAAAGCTTATATTAGCATGTGGGACAAATTTATTAAATCCTCAGGTTGCAAATGTGATTTTAATAAGATAAAGGAACACAGCTGAGGTAGAGATCATTTCTGTCAGGGCTGTACTGAGACCGAGAAGCAGCCCTGCATACGAATGATGCACAACATACCAGAGAATATAATGTACACATTGTGTTGTTTCAAAAATTAAAATAAAGAGCAGCATCCTAGATGGAAGAAAGTAAACATTTAAAAAAATGTATACATTATTTCATGACTCCATTTTATCATCTTATTTCTCTCTCACACATACAGTATATTTTTCTATATTCACAAGAACTTTGCATTGGCTTCCATTCATTTTTCATTCAGAATAACTCTAAGCTAAACTCAGTTCAGACCTTCATCCTGAATTAACCCCAACAGAAAACAGCACTGTTCCCATAAGGAACAACATTGCATTTCTATGAAAAATTGACCTAACAACGTGTCAAATACAAGGCCACACACACACCGAGTGACTGACTAATAACAGGAGATTCATGGAGATTGATGTTAAAAATAATATTCCATCCAGCCACAGTTTCACATCCAACCAGGTAACCAACCAGATCACTGCAGCTTTTTCTTTTGTTTCATTGCTATACAAAGAGAAAAAACACTGCAGAAATATATTTTTTTGGGAAAAAGGTTATGAGCGATAAAAGGTTGCATTTGATTTCTGTATATCACATAAAGCAGGAATGGGATTTAGCTACCATTTCAAAACATCATCATTCATTAGGAGAGTAACTGTCATATTGTACTCGACAAGTGTGGCTACTTGTCACAATCGTTTGAGCATAATTTAGACACTGATACTGAAATATTAGTCATCTGTTGTAGAACCACGTGGTTCCTTCAAAGAGAAGTAGCCTATAAATGATACATTTATCTTGATTTGCTGGAATGTGAGCAAATCTTTTTGGAGTATTGTTCCAACCTGTACAAAATAGTCACTATCTGTTGTTGATTAGTTTTGGAGACGGAGCTGTGGAAACTAAATCCTAAACACATTTTATTTAGTCTCTTCCCCATGTGGAGGAATAATATCTGAAAATGTATTCTTTGGTCATTTTTTAAATTTCCCATATGTCGATTTTTTTTCTTGTTTTATTTTATTGTTTTTTCAAGTTCTGAATAATTTTCACAGCTTCCCAGTGAAAAGTGAATAATCACAGTAAGTATTGAACTTTCTATTGGGTACCTTCTCCGATGTAAAGTGTAATCCTGACAGTAAAAACTGATCCGCTTACAGCAAACAGATCTGCTGCTAGAACTCAGGAAGAACAGTTGAGTTCAGTTTGTTGGTTCTAATTTTAGCGGCCTGACCTTTTCTAGCTCTGACACAAACAATGGTGCCCAGGCAGTGCCTCATCTATAACCAGCACTGGTCACACAGTGGACACAGAACCGCAGCCTCCCCCGTCTTTCACACACACTTACACAAACACAGAAGCATCACTTGTTATGGGAAGGCTTTCTGCCATCTTGTATCTCACCCTTGGAGCCCAGTTCTGTCTCACCACACACATGCAAACTGGGAAACGGCATGTGAACTTTGTCCTGGGTCAGTGTTTGAATGCGAAGATCCCTGTCGCCACAGATGTAATGAGGCGAGAGACATTCGCAGAGCTCCATTATCACTGGACACCAGTCGCCTCGCCAGGACATACACTTTCACACGCACACACACACACACACACACACACACACACACACACTGAGAACTCATCCTCCTGAAGTTTGCTGTGAACTTTCACCTCTACTGTCTTGCTACAGATTATCTACACACAGTGGTATTCCATCAGTTAGAGTATTGTGAAGAGGCTTGAAAAGTATCTTTTAAATTTAGCCTTAAGACTGGTATTAATCATTGAGCTCAAATTTCTGTCTTAAAATGTTTTTTTTTGTTGTGATGTAAAATTCTAATCTTCAAAATCAAGAAGATTTTGAAGATACATACAGTTTTCATCAGCTGTATGCAGTCAACCATCAGAATCAGGATCCATCAGGCTTGAAAACATCAGTTTGTATTTAAATCATCTCGGCTGTGAGATAAATAAACTTTTCAGTCAAGAATAATTCAACAATATCAAAAGTTTGTGTGTGTACTTAAACAGAAGCCACCAGTCAGTTGTTTTCAGAAGGTTCAAGAACTTGTCTTCTGAAAGAAGTTTTAAAAAACAGTTTTTTTTCTATACTTGTCAAGAAAATGTTGGATTTGAATCATGCATGCTTTGTTTGTCCTTTAATAACACACACAGAGCAGAGTCACAAACTTGCAGTCCATCCATTGCAGACTGGTCATCAGGATTTGTATTAAAAGTTCAGTTTATTATTCCAACTAATAAAACAAGAAAGGAAATTCAGCTGACTACTTTGCTACAATCCCTCCTACTGACATGCATGTAGCGACGGTGGAAAGGAAAACTCCTCTTTAACAGGAAGAAACGTCCATTAGAATTTGATTCGGTGTGAATCAATCACCATCTGAAGTGACCTACTGAGGGTTTGAGAAGAACCAAGAAAGTAGCAGAGTGAGAAAGAGTAGTGAGTTTGTCCTGCTATAGGCTGTACCACTCACTGTATCCTTAAGGAACAGCCCATTAAAACAGAACATATGAAAAGAAACCATGAGACTCAATAAGGCGCTGCTTAAAATCACACTAACTATTTTTGTAAACAGCACCAACACGGCAATCTTCACATCTTCCATTCACCAGTGTTTGTTAGCAGACATTTGCTGCAGGTTGGCTCGTCCCCTCACAAAAACACAGTAACAATTGCGCTCAGTGTGTCAGAACACACTCACTGTGATTCTACACAGTGAAAGACAAGACGGACTAAAGGTGTGACCATCACCAAGCGCTGTGTCTGAATGGTCTGGGTCAGTGGTGGGACGAGGGTCTGCCTGCTGCATTGTTGCAGTAGATGTTAAAGCCGTTTATTGCCTTGTTAAAGTGTTTGATCTCTATAGTAAAACACAGGCAGCAAACACCTCCAACGACCCGCCTCCTCCTGCCGCACTGCAGTCGCACAGGAAGCTCAAGCTGCTGGTCTGGACCAAGACTGACACACAATGATGACCATCTGTGGACATTTGAGCTTTTCCTCTGATCACTGAGATGTTATGATAAACATATTAAACGTCTTAATCTTCAAACTGACCCCCAGTCAGATGAAGCACTGTCACCGCTGGGGCTGAAATAATTCATGACATTCATTTGTGATTAATTCACTATTGCAATAAAGCTGCAATATGTAACGTCTATAAAAAAAAAAAAGCTTTCTTCATATACTAAACTGTCACCAGGTTCAGACAGAGTGCTTCTCTGTCTGAACCTGCTTCTCCCAGTGCTAACTAGAAACAACCAATCAGAGCCAGGATGAGGGTCTTAGTTGTCAATCACTTCTCCATCTGGAGCTGCTCCCCCCCTCTTCTTCTCTACGCCTCAGCTAGCACAGCCTGTCATGAATGCTCAGGCTAGTTAGCATAGCTACCAATGAGGGCAGATAAATGGTTTTCCTGTAATTGTAAGTGTTTTTCCTCCTAGCAGCACATTTAGCAGCAAATACATGAGATTGATCAACAGCGATAAGACCTGCCTCCTGACTCTGATTGGTTGTTTCTGGTCAGAGCGGTGCATTCTCTAGACGGTACCAGCAGCTCAGGGAGGAACAGTAGGAGATGGATTTTTTCACAGATTTTCTGTCACGTGGCAAATTATCAAGACAAGGTGACAGTTTGCATGTAAAATATTTTTGTGTCCAACATTGTGCCTGGATTACATGGATTAATTTTTAATGCATAAAACTGATTATGTTGGGCTGAGTGCTTGAATCAACATTTGAACATGGTGAATCTATCAGGTCGTCTTTCTCTCTCTGTCTCTGTCTCTCTTCCACATTGAATGGCAAGGTGGAACATGGCCGCCACCAGCTGCCCAGTTCTCTCTCCCTGTTTGGTGAACACTGAACTTGGTTGCACACAAGAGTTCATCGAGATGTCAGGGTCACCAGTGGGTCAGCCAACGTGCGAGCTGGGGGTGGAGTGATATAAACATGCACAAATGGACAGCGGCCGTTTGACACTTGTGCTGACTGAGCGGTGTGCTTCGGTGTGTGTGCGTGGGTGTGTGTGTTTTATTTTTCTGTATGTTTTGGCCATAAGGTTAGGTGTGTTCAGAGATAGCAAACACATTGATAACAATGTCTATGCAAACTTATCATCAAGTATTAAGAGCAGCAGCTGGTGAAGAGCAGCACCATTTTTCACAGTGTCCAG